CCTTTTTGGGCCTCATCAGGTGATGGTAGGTCAACTCCAGTGTAGCAGCGGAAGTTGCCGCCACACTCGAGTTTCGAACTCGCGTCTTTCCGACCAAAGGCGAACGCCCTAACCCTTGAGCTACGGGTCCGCCGTGTTATCGGTTTTTAATCGGGATTACATGTGTTATTAGGTAATTCTACTCCGATCTGTTTCAGGGTGTACCCACCCTGGATTGAAACTCGACTGTGGCGGAAATTTCCCCTGCTACACTGGAGTTGACCTACCATCACCTGATGAGGCCCAAAAAGGCCGAAAAGCTTCGTGATGTGGTCTGTGATTGTCGGTAAAATACTAATGTTACTAATAATTAGCGAGTAACATATACAATTGGGGTTCCACTTAGCTCGCTATCATGGCAATGATCCAGGGTGGGTACATCCTGAAACAGATCGGAGTAGAATTACCTATATACCTAATATATTACCTAATATGAATATAATGTCTTCCACAGACAATCAGGAGGTAGGATTTCGTGACCGCTAACCTCATCACTCAACCGAATGTTAGTTTTTGCTGGACGCGTTCCTCAACTTCGCCAACGCTATTTATGAAGGTGATACTTCGAAAGAGGTAGGAACAGGCTGCGAACACTATTTACCGAAAATACTTTGTAACGCATACACGCATTTTTTTTCATTTCATAGGGTATATATGCGTGTCTTGCAAATTAAATAAAATATTCTCATTTCCTGCCCGAATACCTAAAAGAAAAGAGTAATTTTCATAAAGGCTCATTTTCAGTTAAGGCTCGGTGAAGTACAGGCACTAGGAATAAAAGCAAGGCCCAACCAAAACATTTAAGAGAGACTCCAGTGGCCCTGCGATCAATTCCTTCGGCGTGGGATTAAGTCAATAAGCTTTCCCATCTAATGTAATTGACTTCAATTGCAACCCTTCAGGACACTGGTCATTAGTGCAATCGCCAAAAGCTGGGCTTCCATGCGAAATGCCGTTTTGTAAATATTTCTTATGTTTTTTAAAGTATAAACATACCCTCCTGTTCGAATTCCCAAACGGGTTGGCCAAATGAAGCAGAAAGTACGAAGTAGCCGAGTCCTAAACAGGCACCAAACAGAAGGGAGACTGAAAAAACGGTGTAGGACGCAATGAAGAAGCTGATACTGCTTTGATTGGGCGAGAGCGCGAGACCAACCATCCGATTGGCGTTGGTTGTAAAGAAGTTCACCAACAGCTCTGTAAAAATATGCAACAAAAAACGCGATACCCAAATAAACGCGGGACACGAAAATATTTTCAGTCAAAAATTGTTGGCTCGTCTTGTGTATGTTCAAGGAATGTTCGTAGGGTTAACTTTTATTTTATCGGTTCACTTTAACGAATAAAATGCAGTATTCCACATTTAAGATCTAGTGTGCTAGTGGCCATGGGCGAAGTAATGGAATAGCAATAAGGATTGAATAATCGTTTTTGGCCAACGATGACTTATTAATTTCTGTAGTCCTAAGTTGGCCGCTTAAGGATTAGCATTATAGTTATATTTGGTGGACAAGCTATCAAAACACGGCAATTGATCGCTTTGCTGCACCTTGGATCTCAATCGAAAACCCCGGGAATATGCACCCATGAATTCGCATATATATATATATATATATATATATATATATATATATATATATATATAT